GCCCCGGGTTTGCACCACTTTATCCCCTTCCATCAGCGGAGAAGGCAGAAGCGGAGGGTCTTGTACGGCCAGAATCACCTTCAGAGCCACAGATTGACACAGGGTTAGCACCCTAAGGTGGCCTTAAAGCGAGGGGCAGAGCCGGCGCCCTCCTGGCTACCGGCGTCAGGGCCATTTCTCCTGATGAGAAAGGCACTCGGGTGATCCGCGGGATGGTCGGTGTTGGTCCCCGGGGCTTCTTCCCTCCCACCTTTAAATGGGTTTTGTTTGTCAAAATCCGTACGGAGAGCGCTTGGAAAGGGAGCTCCTTCTCTCCAGGGGCAGAGGGAGACTGGGCTGGGACTCTCTGGAGAAGGGGAGTGGGAGGACTATTTATCATCACTGAGGGGATGTTGGGATGGGGGGGGCACTCCTTTACGAGCCCCGTTTCCCTTCCCTGAAATGGTTGGCGCGGTGCGAGCCGCTGAAGCAAGGAGAGAGGCAGGAGCCCGCCGGGGCTGTCAGAATGGGACCAGGACCGCCTCACACCCGAGGGGGGCCCCGCCCGCCAGGGAACCGCTTCTCTTTACACAGTAAAATAAAAAGTCCTATGGGACGGGGCTCACTCTCCTTTCCCCGCGGGTGTCTGTGCGCCCAAAACTCCTCCCTGGCTTGTTATCATATATACGTGTGTGTGTGTGTGCTCGCGCTATGTTGTATTTATGTGTATGCAGTCGATTAGTTATTTTAAATCGCTGTCTAGCCATTTATCGAGAGAGAGAGGGAGGTGTTAGGGTTTGCTTGGGCAAGGACGCTGGATGCGTGTTGTCCATGCCCCCTCCCCGGGGCGGGCAGCGGCGGGAAGGTGGGACCCACAATCGGGGAGCCTCACTGCCTGCACCGGCCCCCCGAGGAGCTGCCGAACTGCTTGTCCTCAAAAAGCGGGATTCACTTGGGTTGGTCTCCTTGTCTCTGCAGGCAAAGGGTAAGCCCCGCACTCTGAGTGAGTGAAGAAAGCCCTCTCCTTGGGGTTTGAGAGAGGGAGAGGTATTTTCTGCCCAAATAACACCTGAGTACAGAACTACTCAAGTACACACGGACGAGAGATGGTATCCGCTTCGGGAGGAAAAATAATAATAACAATTGAAAATAGAAGACTGCCCTCAAATAATTTTCCTTTCGTGGTTTTTTGTTTGGTTGGATTTTGGTTGAAGGTCAAGTGCGCAGAAGCCATTGCAGCGGGCAAACGCCCCACCGCCAAGTTGAACGTTTCCTTTCCCCTAATTAATATTTAGCTCTTGCCAAGCGCTGGATTCGGTAGCCAGAAAAATGTTCACACTCCGAAACCAGGAACGGTAGTTTCTTTCCCTGCCGCCCTTACTGTGCGAGGAACAAGTGAGGGGAAGAAACCCCCCAAACGGTTTCTGTTATCCGGCGAATCAAAGTAACAAAAAACTCCGGGAAGAGGCAAGGATGCACCTCAGACGTCCCTATCCCCTCCCCGCTCCGCGGCAGGTCCCCGCCGCTGCCCCGCACCCCCGGCGATGCCGGCGCCTCGGAGCAGCAAGGAAAAGCATAAAGCCCTTTATTTAAAATGCCTTTTTGTTTTTTATTATTATTATTTAAAATCTCGACAGTGAATCATTTTTTTTTTTTGCAACCAAACAAGAAATAAATATTATTTAGCAACCTTTTTTCTTTTTTCCTTTTTTTTTTTTTTTTTTTTTTTTACAAAAATAAACAGATGATAAAATCTCTGCAAGGGGCAGCGATAAGAAAAGTTGTTATTTCAGAAACAAGCCCAAGTTCTCAGTATTGCAACACGGACAAGTGTGAAAGTTCCTACACATAAAGAGCATTATTCAAACTTTGTTAAAGGTGGCAGGAACGAAAAACAACCCCAAAACAACCCCAAAACGAAACCATGTTATACACTTAAAAAAAAAATAACAATAAACCATCCCCGAAACCCAACACCCCCCGAGAACCGAAACGAACGAAATCACGACAGACCGACCCCTCCTCACCCAGGAGGCTCACACAGGACAAGCGCACGGACGGCAAGCTCAAGCAGAGCGGACTCGCGCCGCTGCCGTTGAACGGTATATTTACATAGCCCGAACCAGAAAGAAACCCGGTGGAGCAGAGGGAAGAGGAGGGATAAACCGGCTTCCTCGGCCGCACTTCCTCCTGTATCCCTGCTGCTCCCCGCCGGCGCCAGGCGGACACGGAACGGCGGCCGGTTGCGCAAGGGATGGGCTTTCCGGGCCAGGCTGCGACCCAAGAACGGCTCCAAAGGCTCCGCTTGTAGAAACGAAACCGGGAAGGGGGGAACGAACAAACAAACGAACAAACAAACGCGTAGAAACCCCTCTGCAGTTTTGGTTCCTCCACTTGTGACGAGCCTAGGACTGTTTTCCCCTCCCAGCGGAGTAACCCACAACAAGGTAAAATCAAAATAGGGAAGATGCGCGGCCGTTTGCTCGTGTCGGGCTGGCGTTCCCCGCGTTTTGGGAGCAGGGCAGACCCCGGGCCGGCTCCATCCCCTCCCGCCGCCCCCCCGGCGGCCCGGGAGCGGAGGGGGCTGACGGACGGACGGGCGGCCGTGTTTGTAGGTCCTGGAAGTGCTGGGGCGGCCCGGGGCGGCCCCGCCGAGGGGCTCATTTGGTGTCGGTGGCTAATCTGGGGAGGCTGGCGGTACCCATGCCGGAGACGTGGTGGTGCGGCGGGGCCGACACCTGACACATGCTGCAGGGGCAGGGCATCCCCCCCCAGTGCTGGAAGCCGCTGCCCAGCGGGGCGGCAGCAGCAGCGGCCGAGGGAGACTTGAGGAGCCCGTGGGGGGGCCGGATAGAGCTGACGGCCGAGAGGCCGGAGCCCGGCAGGGAAGCGCTGGAGACGGCGGCGGGGGGCAGGATGGGGTGGTGCACGGGGTGCGAGGCCGGGTGGCCCGGGTGGCCGGGCAGCGGGGCGGAGTGGGCGCCCATGCCGCCGGGGCAGGCGGCGGGATGGAAGCCGGCGTGGTGCCCGCCGTAAATCTCGCTGACCAGGCGCTTCATCTCCTCCAGAGAGTTGGTGAGCATGAGGATGTAGTTGCGCGCCAGGAGGAGCGTGGCGATCTTGGAGAGCTTGCGCACCGACGGGCCGTGGGCATAGGGCATCACCTCCCGCAGCCCGTCCATGGCGATGTTCAGGTCGTGCATCCGCTTGCGCTCCCGGCTGTTGATCTTCAGCCGCAGCTGCTGCAGCTCCGGCTCCGTCATCTGCTTCTTGTCCTTCTTGGAGGAGGACGAGGAGGATGAGGAGGAGGACGAAGACGAGGACTTGAAGCCCAGCTTGTCCACCACCACCACCCCGGCAGCGCTCATGGCGCTGCGCAACTCGGCGCTCAGCTCCGGCGGGGAGTCGCTCTGCGTGGAGCTGGACACGGTGCCGCCCGTGAAACCCCCGCCGCTGCCTTTATTCCTGGCCGTGAGGAAGAGGTCATCGGGCTCCGGGGAGGACGGGCGGCTGGAGACCAGGCTGGCGTCCGAGTCCATGGCCCGCCGGGCGGGACGGCGGCGCGCACCGGGCTGCCTGCGGGAAGGTGAGAGAGCCCGCAGGCGGCCCCAGATCAGAGCCCACCGAAACTTACCGGGGCTTCGCCGCCTCCCGCCCGACACGTCGGTGATCCCGCTCCTCCGCTGCTCCGCGGGGCTGAGTGAGACCAGTGAGGTCTCGCTGCCCGCCCGCCTCCAGCTCTCGGGGGGTTCCTCCCGTCCCGTCCCGTCCCCTCCCTCCAGGTCCCGTCCCGTCCCTCCCTCCCTCCCTCAGCGCCTCTCCGCCGGGCCGGCGGCTCGGGGGTGCCGCGCCGGGGGGGGCGAGGGCGCGGGGTGCACTTACCGTGCGCGGGGCGGCCGTGGGGAGCGGCGCGCCGTGACGGGCGAGCACGGCAGCAGCGCGCACCTTGCGGCGGCGGCGGCGGCGGCTTTATAGCCGCGCCGGGGAGGAACGATGTCACCGGGCGGGAGGGGGACTGCGCCAATCGGCGGCGGCGGAGGAGGGGGGGGAGGCGACCGGTGGGGAACGGCTGATGTCACCGGGGCCGGTCCGGCTCGATGGGGCGGGCGGCCGGGGAGGGGGGGCGACGGGCGGCCGCGGCGCGGGGAGCCCGGGGGGGGGGGGGGGGGGCGCGGCGGGGGAGGGGGACTTTTGTCAAATCCATAATAAAATGCAACAATGACAGCGCCGGGAACAGCTGTTGAGGGAGCGGGACGGGAACGGGGACGGACATGGGACATACAGCCCCTGGCCCAGCCGCCGCAGCACCCTCCGAGCGGCAGAGCTGCCCGGCTCCCGCCAGCACGTCCGTGTTTCCCTGTGCCCCGTCCATTCCCGCCGGGGAGTGCTCAGCCGCAGCCCTGCTACGCTCTCCGGGCGGCCGGCGAGCTTCCCCTGGAGGGTACCTCCTTCTGCCCCCATCCTGGTCATTCTCTCCCCCGATTCCTTCCTCCCCTTAAGCGCTGCAAAGGGAGTCGAAGGGGGAGAAGGAGAAAAGCTATTTTGGCCACTCCGTTCCGCACAAACGCATTTCCCCGCGGAGACCGCCGGGCGGTGAAGGGCAGCCCCAGCGGGGACCCCCGGCTCCGGCCCCGCAGCGACCGGGAGAAGAAGCCCTAGTGGCCACCAAATCCTGCCTCCAAAGTGCCCCCCCAGCGAGTCCGTAGCAGGATAGGGGACAGAAAGCAAGCAGAAAGGACATTAACAAGCAAATGACCTTCGGAAATGCCTCACTCCTCCCTTAGCGCCTCTCCCGGCGATCTTTCTCGCCCCTGCTTCTCCGTGCAACAGGGTCGGGGCTTCCTCCCACCGGGGTAAATCCCCCCTGCATCCCTCCTCCCCCCGGTCCCTTTGCCTTTGTTGTATTATTTTTACACCCGTGTGTTTCCCAGCTGGCCCGGCAAGCCTCAACCATCCGTTAAATATGTATTTAAAACGTTAAGAAGTGAAGCGTGGAAATGTGTTTCCCAACGGTTGCGGGGATGATCCGTAACAGGTCAATTAGGGAAAATCTGTCCCAGCAACAGCCGGGCCCGCTGCCGCTGTTCGCAGCCCGCCGCCCGGCGTGTGTCCTGCTGCAGCCCGACCTGCCCCCTGTGCCCGGCCACTCGGAGCTTGCCCCGGGCTACCGTCGGTGCCCGCACCTGCCCGCGGAGCTGCGGAACCCGGACGGCGAAGGCTGAGGGACACCCTCTCCTCCTCCCGCGGATGGAGAGGGGTACTGCGGGGGGAGCTGGGGCTGAGCCCCTGAGGTGGGGGAGCAGCGGGGCGGGGAGGGACACGCACACACGTCTGTGCAAACTTTGCATTTATTTCATGGTCGGGGAGCGGTGAGGCGGCAGCAGGAAGCCTGCCTCTGCCTTTTAACTGATGGCTCTATACGGCGCATTGTTGGAGCCGCATAAAACACGGCAACAACGAGCACAGCTAATTAAGCCTCGGCACCTTTCCCGGGCAGCCCTGCCCCGGGAAGACGAACAGGCCCCTGGCCGGCCAGGCGGGGCGGCGGGATAGGAGAGGGGGGCACACCGGGGCCGCGGTGCTGGGGCGAAAACCAGGAAAATGCCGGCATCGCTCGTCCCAACTCTTAGGGCTTGGTAATTCTCCTTCTTAAAAGGCTGGGACTTTTCCGTCTTAAAAGGTCGAACAAGTCTCCCCTCCGCACCCCAAACGATGGCGGGGCTTGTCCCCCCCGTCGAGTTTGCGGCAACCCCGCAGGGCCGCCGCGGCGGCTCAGCTCCGTGGGAGGGGTTGTCACCAGCTTCATCATCCTGGGCATGGGACCGGGCAGGCAGCTCCCCACCAAGACCTGGGGGCTCCGTTTCGGCCAGGCAACAGCCCCCGAGGCGGCGGGAGGCAGGGCAGAGGCTGGCGAGGGCGGCCTGTGGCTGGAGCAGAGGTGGGGGGGTACCTGCCGGGAGACAACCGCCGGCCACTGCCCCGGTTGCGTGAGGATGAGCACCTCAGGAGTCCTGGGGAAGGAGAACTGCGCAGCAGACTCCTCCCTTTTCTTTTTCCTTTTCCTTTTCCTTTTCCTTTTCCTTTTCCTTTTCCTTTTCCTTTTCCTTTTCCTTTTCCTTTTCCTTTTCCTTTTCCTTCTCCTTCTCCTTTTCCTTTTCTTTTTCCTTTTTCTTTTCCTCTTTTCCTCTTTTTTCTTTTTTCTTTTTTCTTTTTTTTTCCCTTTTCTCCTTTTTTTTTCTTTTCCTTTTTTCGTTTTTACTTTTCGTTTTCCTTCCTTTTTTTTTCCTTTCCTCCCTTTTATCTTTTACTTTCTTCTGCTTGTTTCCAATTACTTCCTTTCCCCCTTTTTCCTTTTTTTCCTTGGCTCTCTTCCTTCTCCCCCCACCCCCCCCCCCCCACCCCCCCCGGAGGAAGCCACTGCCTCGGAGAAACTGGGTTTTATGTCCGTAACGGGGCAAGTGATGCCTTGGATGATCACCGTCCGTCTGTCTGGATGTGAACTCTGTCCCGCTTGCATCCCGCGGGGCTGCTGCCGTGCGGCGCGGTGGTAGCGAGGCGGTGCTTCTCTGCCGCCCTCGTCGGAAGGAGGAGGGGGTGCAAGGGGTGATCTTTGCCGTGAGGTGTCAAATTGTCACACGTCCTCCCCTCGGTTCAACAAGGCTCAGTATTGGAAACCGCCTTTCATTGTAGGTGTGTCCCGGGAAAGCAGCCCGGGAGGGCTCCGAGAGAAGCTCTTCACCTCAGCTTGCTTTCGATACTAAAATGCGGAGCAGAGCCTATTTTCTTATCTATAAATATGGGGGGTTTCACCCTTTTTAAAAAAAAAAAAAATCGGGACTGCAGGCAGCTCAGGCAGGAACGAAGGCAATCAGGGAACATGATGAAGTGATAACTTAATGAAAACCAGACTGTTGCTTTCATGTTGAAAATCACTCGGAATGTCATTAGGTTATTACTTGGGATTGTTATTGCCTCTATTCCCCCAAGGCCTATGGCCCAGGGTCCTTTCCTCATGGATACCACACAACCAAGCCAAAACTACCCCTGCCCGGCTGTAAGGAATCTAAGGCATCCGAAGGATGAAGAGCCTGTGTGTGACCACGGCTTCTTGAGGACTGGCAGCTGAAAACAGTTTCAATGATGCCTCAGAAACTGTAAAGCCTGATCCCCAGTGCTGTCTGCCTCCCATCTGTTGGCAGGGCCATGGGATCCGAATTGGGCTTTGCAGCTCCAGAGCCTTTTAAACTTCGCAGTTGAGAGTGGAGTGTGGTCTTCAGGGAGTTTGCAGGGGTCACAGTTGCCACCTCTCCTCGCTAACAGCTTGGGACCAGAAAACTCAGCACCTGACACTGAAGACATGGGAATGTGGGGGTTACCTGCAAGCTCTGTGCCCACTGCTTAAAGGTATGAGGGGAGGTCAGGGCAGGGAATAACTTCTTGAAGGTTCAGGTTTGACCCTTTTCTTCTTCCCCCCCCCCCCCAGCTGTATCTCAACGAGCTTTAAATTTATTTTTTTTTTTGTGCTATTGTTTTGGACTTAAAAGTGAAGTCCACCTGCCCAACTAACGCATTTGATATCTGTGATCTCCAAGATAGGGACTCGAATTCATAGAGCAGGGCAGACATTTCTATCCCCTTAGGGTTCTTTTTCCAGTGTTATAATTGTTTTTTGTTAACACTTGTTTGCTTGAAATGTTGGAGACACATGGCTTTTGCCAAAATCTCAGCACGTCTTCCCATTCAATCACAGACTGGGAAAGCTTCACAGGAGTCACCCAGGGGAAGTCTCAGCAATATCAGAGCTGATGTTTGTGATATTTGCAGGATTAAAAATATGCAGGAAATCGGCCATCTCCTATTCTCATCTAGCAGAAAAAAACTCTCTTTATAAATAAACTTTTGTCACTTATGACCCTGCTGTCATCTGTGAAAAAATAATTAGATCACTATTTAAAACCCAGGCTACATTTCGTGTCTTACATCTTCCAGGCTCATTCATCCCTCCTCTCAAACACGGCCATTTAGTTGCACAAGTCTCACACCCATGAAAGTAATGGGGACTGACTTTCTCTGACCTTCATGTAGACTCCTTTTAATTCCTCAGTGCAGGTGTAAGACATAGAAGTTTTCTGACCACCATTTGTTGTGTTTAATGCAAGATGCTGTGGGGTTTTTTTTACAAGACATAATAGGATTTCACTTAAGATGTTGCTGGAGCAAAAACTGAAGATGCAACAGATAACTCTATCCCATCATTTTATTGCCTTAATGAAAGACAATTCCTAAAGCTTATATACCAAGGCCAGGCTGAATGGGACTTTGAGCAAGCTGGTATAGTGGAAAGTGTCCCTGTCCATGGCAGGGGCATTGGAACTAGATGATCTTTCAGGTCCTTTCCAGTCCAAACCATTCTATGATTCTATGATTGCTATTTAATTTTAACAGCTGCTGTGTGTCACCATCAATTTCACTTCTCATTGACAATCCCATCGCCTATGGGCAAATGAGGAGAGAGAGACTGAAACACGGAGGAAGTGCTGTGTTGGTAGATCCATGTACTGCCCTGCTTGCATCTCCTGTCCTGGGCATCTTGGGCAGGCACCCATTGATTGCCATGTCATAAAGTGTTCAAGCTCCTCTCAGGATCAGCTGCATGCTGAGGTTTGTTTTTCAGGGGCTGTGTAGAGAAATACCTGTGTGACACTGTTTCTATGTGTCTGGCAAAGCATTTCCAGTCTGCAGAAATGTCACCTCACCAAGCAGAGGTCTGCTGTGCTTGGACCCAGAGAAGGGAGGTGAAAATCTGCCAGCCTTTGCTGTTGGTTAGTCAATGTACAGCCCTGTTACAATACTGGTGAAAAGTGACGTGTTTAACTTTCCCCAGGCTTGGTGCTGTCCCTCATATGCAAATCTTCCCAAACTGAGCTGATGTAATGGGGAAGGAGCAGTGGGAACATCGAAAAGAAGTCAATACAACTGCTAAGATTGGCTTTTAGATGGACAGAGGCAAGGAAACAGAGCTGGAATTATGTACCTATGCTGTGATTTGCCCAGCCACACACAGTTTTGGGTTTCACAGGAGACAGAACTGGGCTTCTCCTCCAGTGAGGGGTTTTGCTCTGCACTGGCCAAGCTGGACACCAATGGGATTAGATCACCTACATGCTCAACCCAGTGAGCTGGTCTGAACTGCCTTCATCCCATGGTTCCTGCAGCAGGGCCTGAATTTGGGAAAGAGAAGTGTGTCATATAGCTGAAAAGGCAAAGAAAGCTCCAGCACAAGTGGGTGTATCTCCTCTGAAAAAAAAATGAAGTGTCCTTGTTAGGGCTACCCCTCATGCCTTTTCTACTTTCCACGTCTTTATTTTGATTGAGAAATGAGCGAGTCCTGGTAGAGTTCTAGGGATGAGCAGAACATGAAAATGTGGGTATGTTTTGGTTCCCATGCAAACACTCACTGGAAACAAATTTTTCCTTAGTTTATCCCTTTGTCCTGTCCCTGCCCTGTTCTCAGAAGAAAAATGCTGGAAAAATCCTGATGCTAATAGGTTAATGTATCTGCCTGACTGAGCCCCAAGAATTTTGTTGCTGTACTCATCGTGGAAATGATCCACCACCTGAAGGTGTCAGTGCCCTTCAGAATAGGTTTCATATGGTGGCAACAACAGTCGGGCTCATGCTGAACCACTCCCTGGCCAGTGTTACTGGACAGAGACCCTTGACCCTTGGGATGGAGAAGTTCTCAGCTGATCAGTTCTTTAATGTGGTAAAAAAAGAGGACTAAAAAATGGCTTGGTAGCAGAAGTCTATACTAGGAATTTGGTGAGATTTCTCCTCAATTTGTTGAGAGTTTTGGGGGGCTGTTGTCTTCCTGTGTCATACGGGGACTTGCATTAATGGAGTAACAGCTGAACTAAGCATTTGGAATGAACATATCAAAGCCCTGAGTCTGTACGACACCATCTCTTGTTGCCCATGATGTCAAAGGTTGCAGCGAATGTCTCCCTTGCTTTCTGGGTGGCATTGTCCAGGACAGTGGCCCCAGCAGATGGCCCAAAAATCGCACCTCGGCCAAGCAAAGGGGGACCACATGTGACGAACCATAGATGTCTCATTAGCAAACAGGGGGAAAAAAGCAAGGATGAGAAAAAAAGATAAAAAGAATACACAAAGACATTTACATATTTACATTGTTCCTCCCTCATTTCCAATTCTCCTTTAGCTGAAGTGTCAGTGGGCTCACTTTTCTCCTTCTGTTTGTATGTTTACTTGTGCTAAATAGATTATGATAATCAGGCACATAAATGCATGCAACTGTTATTATGGCATTTTAATCACAGAGTTTTTCACTGGAAGGCTTCATTAGAATTCTCATAATCTCACTTGTTAGTGTAACAAACAGTAATAAATGCCAAGGAACTGGGATTAAGTCAGAGACATTCAGACATTAAAGGAGGAATATGGAAATGTTGTCAAATCTCCGCATTATTTATTGAAATGTCACATAAACAGTTCAGGACTTTAAATATCTTACTCATTAGAAGGAGAGGATGTGCGGCCACCTGAAGATAGCAATTATATTTTTTTAGGGAGTACTGGGACCATATGTCTCTCATCGACTCTTCCCAACTTTGCTGGGCCAGCCAGGCAATAGCTACTTTCTAGCTATTTGGTTATATTTACAACCTCCATACCCGATATTTAGCTGGGAGGGGGGATTACTCCTGGCTGTCTGGACACAACACAGGAAGGCAGTGCATTGCCTTTCATGTGGCTCTTCTTTACCTTTGCAGAGTGATACCCACTGGACCTGCTCACAGTGGGGGTCCCAGCTTCACCAGCTGACCACAGAGCTGAAGATCTGACACCATCTGAGGAGGCCTCCTGCCAACTCCTGCCATCTATCCCTTGGCAACAGGAAGGAAGCCTTCAGCGATGTGCTAAGGTAGTCCAGGAATTTACCCTACTGCAGCTCCCATGGGCTGGC